GTTTTCCTTACTCAATTATTCCAAGGATTTGCCAAATAATTAATTAAGAACACTTTTTAATTTACAAAACACATACATACTTACATAATAGTAGTGAAATCACCAACTCGTTACCAATGTATGAAAACACGGATTTACACAAGTTTCTAACCCACGTCTACTGTCTACGGATCCTCTAATAATACAACAGGATAATATAGTATTTGCCGGTAACAAGGCTCCGGCTATACCTTACACAAATCAAAAATAAAACTCCGAAAACAAGCGGCCTGAGCCACGCAGGGCCCCGAGAGGAAAGGGGCTCACCAAAAAACTGATGAAGGACGAAGGGGAGCTACGATCGGTGGACTGGAGTACCTGCTACGGATCCACCTACAATCATAACACGAATGTAGCGCCCCCGGCAAAAGGGACGTCAGTACATTTGAATTGTACTGATATGTATAACAAACTTTACCCTGAGTAACCACAAACCATACACGAATAACAACAATAGAGGGAAACAACAATTGAATACACACAAGGAAAAACAATCAAGGCAAACAAGTTGACAATCTCTCCTTTTCCCCATCATCATTTCCACATTCTCAATTTCACAATGTTCTCATGTTTCATTTCAATAGTGATATCGATCACTTTCCAACCTTATTACCTCGACCACCCTTATTACCTCGGCCACCCTTATCACCACAACCCACACCTTATTACTTCATGTTGCGGCGCGCAACCCGATCCCACCGAGCAATCACAATTCACAAACAATAGCACAACAACAACAATTTACAAGGAGAACAGCAACAAGTTTCAGGAATAATCAACAGCAAATCCCAATAACAACAGCAACACATCTCAAAGAACAACAACACAACTCACACAGAGTTTATGTGACTATCAATGCCATTTCCATCTTTTTCAACAGCCCGTTGTACCATTTAAATCACAGCAATAATTTTTCACAGCTAGGCACAAAGGATGTTACCACAGTTATTTCAATATCACCAATTTTGATTCCTTTCCATCATTTATTCCACAGTTCTTACCACATAACACATTCGAAATTACAACTTGGTTTATTGCCATTTACTTACACAACCATATCGGACGTCTTAACCAACAACGTTTAAGGCACAACATTGACATGAATTCACAAATGGTTTACACAAGGAAACACATACTACTCACAAGGGTTTAACTTCACAACTAATCCATGAAGGTATCACATACCAAGTATTTGGACACCAAGCAGGGCGATTTTACAAAGTTTAAAGTTAGCCATACATACCTGGAGTTGAATCCCTTTTTAATTTCAACTTCCAATTCACCGAAAATCTAGCAACGGCAATATAGTGCACAAATTAATACTCGTAACTTAGAATTCAAGGTTCAAAACCACTACCCGAACATACTTAGGTTATCAATCCCTTCTTTGCATAAGTCTTTGCTCCCACCCAATTACCCCCACTAGGTTTTAGGTTTTAATAAACACGCATGCACAATTTTTGCCATTATTTCCAAGAACCAATGCATGAGACTTCCCCCCCCCCCCTAATTTAAACCTGAAATTCAATGAAAAGGGTTAGGAATTTTACCTGCAAGAGAAAGGGGATGAAGATAAGTTTGAGATTTCCCGGCCCGGATAGCTTTGAAGAATCAAATTTTGGAGGAGATGACTTTCTCTCTCAAGACCCTCTCTTCCTCTCTCTTATTTTGTGTAGAAGATCGTTAAAGAATGAGGGGTTGGGTGTTTTATTACAAAAGGGGTCAGGTTTTAAAATTTAAAAAATAGAAACCGAGCAAGATCTGCGGTCGCATTCTGCGATCGCAGAGTTGAAATGCGGTCCGCAGATTGGACCACAGAATTGCCCCCAAAACTCTGAGGATTCTGTTTGGGTCTGCGACAGGAATGCGGTCCGCATTCATGTTCTGCGGTCGCATAGTGCACCGCAGAACTGACATTCACAAAATTCAAAGGAGAGTATGCGACGACTATGCGGTCCGCATATTTGTTATGCGATCGCATAATAGATCGCATTTTCAACATTAATTTTGACAACTCTACCGTTCCACTCTGCGGTAGAAATGCGGTCCGCATATCAATTATGCGGTCGCATTTTGGACCGCATCTTGACCTCAAGTTTTAACCAAACCACTGCTTCACTATGCGGTAGGAATGCAGTCCGCATACCGGATCTGCGACCGCATTCTTGACCGCATAATAGCATTTTCTGGAAAAATTGATTTCTTTTGATTTTTACAAGCTTAGATCAATACCAAGGCTCCGAACCGCCTACACATTCCTAACACGTGTTCGGAGCCGACACCACAAGATTCTGGTTTACGAGCCAAAAATTTTACGGGGCCTCACACTCCGATGGTTGTTCGATCACTTGATGTGAACAAGGATCCATTCCGACCTCAAGAAGAGAATGAAGAGCTACTTGGTCCTGAAGTACCATATCTTAGTGCAATTGGTGCACTAATGTATCTTGCAAATACTACAAGGCCTGACATAACTTTTTCAGTTAATGTCTTAGCAAGATATAGCTCTGCTCCCACAAGGAGACATTGGAATGGGATCAAACACATATTGCGGTATCTAAAAGGGACTACCGATATGGGCTTATTTTATGGCAACAATTGCAGTCCCGATCTTGTTGGTTATGCTGATGCTGGGTATTTATCTGACCCACACAAGGCTCGGTCTCAAACAGGTTATGTATTTACCTGTGGAGGCACTGCCATATCTTGGCGATCAACTAAGCAATCAATTGTGGCTACTTCATCTAATCATGCTGAGATAATTGCTATCATGAAGCAAGTCAAGAATGTGTGTGGTTGAGGTCTATAATACATCTTATTCGAGACAAATGTGGTGTGAAATGTGATAAGTTACCCACAATTTTGTATGAAGATAATGCAGCATGCATAGCTCAATTGAAGGGAGGATTCATAAAAGGAGATAGGACAAAGCACATTTCGCCAAAGTTATTTTTCACGCATGATCTTCAAAAGAATGGTGATATTAATGTGCAACAGATTCGTTCAAGTGATAATATGGCTGATTTGTTCACAAAATCTCTACCAACGTCAACCTTCAAGAAGCTAGTTTACAAGATCGGGATGCGAAGGCTCAAGGATGTGAATTGATGCTCTCATCAGGGGGAGTTAATGCGCATTGCACTCTTTTTCCCTTACAAGGTTTTGTCCCACTGGGTTTTCCTTGCAAGGTTTTTAATGAGGCAACCAAAAGGCGTATTTCTAAACATGTGTACTCTTTTTCCTTCTCTAGAATTTTTTTCCCACTGGGTTTTATTTTAGTTAAGGTTTTAACGAGGCATATTATCTGTTGAATAGACATTCAAGGGGGAGTGTTATAAATAGAATTCTATTTATGGTGAATGTCCATATTTAGAGAGATTCTAGGGTTTATTACTTGGTGGCTAAGTCAACCTCTCCCTATACATAGAGGGTACTATTCCATTGTAATCATCCCAAATTCAATAAGAATTTCCTCTCTCTCTTTCTCTGCAATATTGCTCTTGTTCTTTTATTATTTTATAACAGAATTCAATATGTTTGGTTTAGACAAAATAGGATAGAATTAAAAGAAAAGTGAAGTTGCCAAAAGTGATTGAGACATTTGTTATCACTAAAAAAAGAGTTCAGGTTGGTTGGTGAGCATAGCAATAGGAGACTATCTAGCTTGGTTCGGAGAGCACTTGTTGGGTTAAGTATTTATTTGTTGCTAAATGTTACGGCCTAAATGCTGCTTGACAACTCTAATAGATGTGTTGTTGTACCTAATTGTCAACTAATTTTCAACCTCAGATATAAATTTGAGATTGTATCATGCTTTCTTTATTTTTTCGGTTTTCACACGGTATCCGATGCCCGCATAGTGGCCCGATCAAATCCGGATCCGCGCTGAAAAATCCCATATTGGGAGGTATGAGTGCTCCCTAATAAAGGCGATTCCATACCCAGGGCTCGAACTTGAGACCCCTGATTAAGGATGAAGGAGTGCTTTCTTTGTTTGACTTACAACTATTATCAACTATCGATACAAGCTATTACTTCAACTCAAACTCCTAGATAACGATATCATAGTGATTGTCCCTACATCTTCAACACTGCAATATTTTCTTGGAAATATTGGATAGTTAAAATCTTATCTTAAGTGGTCAATTACACGTGGTTTAACTAGAATTATATTTTGGCTATAATAAATTAATAGTTACATATGCGTTCGGATCACGCTGCCTTTGAAAAGGACTAACAAACTAAAAAGGTTAACAAATTATCAAGTTTGCAATATAATGAAAGTGACTCATACTTTGATAACTTTTTTAATTTTCTTATTGAGGGGAAAAGGACAAGTAGGAGCCAGGAATTTATAATCTAAAATAAATTTGAATCCCATTTGCCACTACACTAGTATTTAATAGTTCATATATTTTTGTATAGTATAATTTTTTAGTGAAAACTTTTTAATCAAAACCTCACATGGGGACGGGATCGGGGAGAGAGAGGAGAAGAAGGAGGAGGAGAGGGAGAAGGACAAGGAGGACGAATGAGAGGATCTCAACAAAGTGAAACAATGAATAATACTCTCTTTTTATTTTTATTTTTTTGTGACACTAAATTCTGTTTAAAAAAGACTATTCCTTTTTATATTTTAAACTAATTAAACATTATACATCTCATTTTACCTTAAGTACATAATTTCGTAGCTATACAAATAACATATCTAAGATCACAAGTAGCAAAAGTTTTATAGTGTTTTAAAATCAAAAATTACATAGGTCTTTGTTTCGTTCTTAATCCCTTTGTCTAGTTAAACTATGAAATAAAACGATGGGAGTAATAAAGATAAACAATCAATACAAAAAAAATATGTAAAAATTTCACCGAAGAAAGAGATACATATAAATGTTCATAGACCATTTTTCGCACCCAAATTACCAATAAAGAATCTTTGACGGGTAAAAGGAAAAGATATCTTGAAGTTCCCTTAGTATAAAGAAGTTAAATTTGGCAAAAGCATAAAAGACATGACATGGAAATATCAGAATACATCATGAGCAGTAGCTAAGCAGCATATATTGCCATACATATAGAGTCATGACTTCCTAAATACAAAAGGTAATTTATCTTGGCGATTTTAGTGATTCAACTTGAGATTTTCCAGAAGGACCTTTGGTTCTGATTAAAGCTCGATACTCGTTGAACGTCGTCGGACGATATAACGCCGGCCTGTCCTCCGTCACAAGTTCATCTGCAGGTTTGATGAGTATGTCACCTCCAGGATTGTAGAAGAATGCTAAGGAAACCCGTTCTTTGGCTGAATTAACTATCACTCTGTGCTCTACACTTTTGTAATTTGCATTACTTAATACCTGTGATCATTATCAAAACTACACTCATAAAATGTACCGAGATAAAAATAGATGACCATATTCAAAATTTAAGTGACAAAAAAGTAGTACTCTAAACAATCACGTAAATAGTTTGAGTAGAATTTCGAAATAATTTTTTATATAAATATATATGTTTGGTTTTACATATACTACAGTGTGTTGAAAAACCAAATTATGTTCGTCAATGAGTATACTAGCTAGCTAGTATGCCTCCCAAATGTGGCGACAACATATTGATATGCGCTAGCTCCCTTGATAGGCACGCCATTATAACCACGCTCGTAAAAACTCAGATCGGTCAATTCTCTATTCATCTGACCAGAGGCATAAATAACGAGGCCAACTTAAAATATTGGATTGGCTTCTAGATCCTAGGTGCTATGTGGGCCAACTCTATAGCGGCAGTGTCCATAAATAGTCCGTAAGGTGCTCATAGTTTCACTTGACCAAGTCTATAGCGGTTAGGTTGCGGTAAGTGGCGGAGCCAGGATCTCCACGAAGGGGGTTCAAAAAAAATTTTTGTGGCTAGTGGGAATTGAACCTGTGACCTTATGAAGGTTTTGAACCCCCTTGACAACTAAACTACACTTTAGGGTTGTGTCAAGGGTGTTCAAAACTTAATATATAGAGATAAAAACCAGATTTTGCCTTATATATACAGTGTAATTTTTCGGCGAAGGGGGTTCGGGTTGCGCCCCCTAAATCCGCCCCTGGTTGTGGTCAAGTGAGACTTCAGGCGCTGCATGAGCTACTTGTATGCTGCTACCACATGAAAGGGTACACTAGAAAATGGTAAAGTAATATATGAGTAATTTTAATTTTTAATCTAGCTAGAAAAAGATGAGAGATATATTTACCTGAATTTGATCTCCAATGTTGACAACAAAGGCATTAGGAACAGGTTTAACAGTTAGCCAGTTATCGCCATGACGGACTTGGAGGCCGGAAACGTCGATATCAGGGAGAAGAAGGGTCAGGCCACCAGGATCAGAGTGGGGAGAGAGACCTAGGGTAAGATCTGGCTGGGGGCATTTTGGGTAAAAATTTACTCTTAAGCAAGCACCTATTTTGCTGTTTCCTCCAAATCTTTGGTGTAGATAATCCTCGTTTAATCCGAGGTTTATAGATAAGATTTTGAGTAACTTTTCGCTTAGCTTAGCTACTTCTTGTCCATATTCTGAAATTATTTCCCTGAGAGGTCAAAAAAATAAAAATAAATGAAAAAAGGGATAAAGTTAGAAGTCAGAATATGACCAGAAAAAATGTATACGAGTTTAACTTATATATATATACACTAATAACATAAGATATTTTTACACTATCGGTCATTTAAAAATTTATTACATGTAATGTTTTATAAACAAAGCATGGTTTTACCAGGTAACTTAACCACTATCGATAATTTAGAGGCGAAGTTAGGGAAACAAGAAGGGTTTATTTGAACCTCCTTTTGTCGGAAAAATAAAACTACGAATATAATTAAGATTAATTTTTTTTAATCTATACATATTAAGTGATGATTTTTGTTGGCTTTTTCACGTGCTTACTTTTTTCTTTTTCTTTTTTTAATTCCCTTGATCACACTGAATTCAATGTATTTAAAATACCATGTGCATTACCAGGTTTGACATGAGAATTCTGCTATTGAAAAACACGAGGAAAGACAACTAGTAGCATATAACTAGTGCAAGGACCATTAGGAAACTAAGGACCACTGTTACGAACCTAGATGTGTGGATATTGAAGTTGAGAATATATATCTCATATAAATATAAATTGAATTTATTGATAAACATGTTGATCCGTTAAGTATATATGTCACGTGAATGATTGTCTTCATTTAATTTAATATAATAATATTAATATGTGTGATTATCTTATCTAAAAATTTAAATTGTTAGAGAAAATAACAATTTTATTTATTTAATGATATCTTCACCACGCCCTTTAACGTGCGTTTTTTTTTTTATGAACAATAGAAATTGTTTTTGGTAATGGGACATAGCGTGAAACTCAATCTCAAGACTTCTACCTGCTCTGATACTAGGGGTGACAAATGGGCGGGTTGGGCTGAATTTGGGCGGGTCAAGATAGGTTAGGTCAATAAATGAGTCATTGCCCAACCCAGCCCAAAGTGTACTTGGGCTAAGATGGGCTAAACAATGGGTCATAGCCCAACCCGTCCAACTTGACCGATGTTTTAGAACCATGCTCATCTTGCATAAACAAAGTCTTTTACCTTTTATACACCTATGTATAAAAGGTAAATAAATACTATTTGTATTTTGAGAATCAAAATATATTTTCTTAAATAACAAATTGGTATTTAAAATGTGTAAGTTGAAAAATATTTTGCGGGTGGGGTGTTGGGTTGGTGGGTGGTGCAGAAAATTGAAAATATAAAAAAAAACTAAAAAAAAAATTTAGAGGGGAGTTGGGTTGAAATCTCTTTGTTTTAGGTGAGCTCCATGGGTTGTATTTGGGCTACTTCATGAGTCAGAATGGGCTATATAAAATAATGCGTTAACTTAGGCTTAGCCTAAATAGAATCATGAGCTAAAATGTTTGTAGCCCAACCCATTAATCTCTGGACGGGTTGGATGGGTCTAGGCTCAAATTGCCACCCCTATCTGATATTATATTTAAGTGTGTGACGAGCTATTAGAGAGAACATACTTTTGTTTATTTAGTTATGTTTGTAACGAGCTATTAGAGAGAATATATTTTTTGTTTATTTAATTATGTTTTTAACACATAAATATAACTCTGTATAAGCTAATGTTAAGATCATATCATTAATAAGACAAGTTACCTAGGGCTAATTAAGCGATCACTAAATGGGAAATGCAAAATGAAAGTTCACCTGCGTGAAATTGGAAGACTAGGCCATTTATTCTCATCCTTTAACTTCTCAGGAAGATAATGAAGGAAGAAATAATCACACCAATCCAATTTAGCACCTTTCTCCACTCCAAGCCTACTCCCATAACCTTCATAAGTAATCGGAGAATTTGCAAATTTCTGCTTCTCCTCCAACGGAAGATGGAAAAACTCGCGCCAAACACCGCGAGTTTTTGCCATCAGGTCATGGCTAACGCCATGACTCACCACCTGGAAAAAACCCCAGTCGCGACAAGCCTGGAAAATGAGGTTCATAGTTTCATGGCGAGCAGATTCATCGCAAGAGTTCAAGTTTTCGAGGTCAATTAATGGAATGTTAGCTTCAGTGTCCAGCAAACATGGTCTGTCCGCTGGCTTTTTCACGAAACGACCAGGGATTTCCTGAATGCCACTTTCTGATAGTTCTTGAACTCTAATAATTGGCTCTGGCCAGCTTTCCAAGCAACTCATTATTCTGTTGTACTTCGTTTATTTAGTACTGCTAACTATTATACGAGGATGTTATTCCTCAAGATTGTCAATATATATAGCTTCGATAGTCATTTGTAAAATCTATAGCAGTGTGGACAGGGTGGAAGTGGAAGATAATGATTAAAAGAAACGAAATTGACGTGAGCTTGAGAACGTGGTTTTCATGGGGACCGAGGTTTAATGATATATTCAGCTAGAACACGAGGATGTTGTCTTTGTAGTACGTAAGATGTTAAATCTCGTGTAGGTTAGATTGTCGTTTTATTGGTCGGGAAGACAGAAGAGAGGGATGTAGAAGTAGAATATTTAATACTCCAGTGTAAAAGCTTTAGGTTGTGGACTAAAGAGGAATCTGGATGATTACGTAAAAGCATTGAAATGATTTTGATAGTATATGTACACACTACACAGTATCACTGCTAAAGAACAAATATATAGAGAAAAGGAGGATAAAAAAATGTGGTGATAGAAAGACATATTTATATGCCCAAAGAAAGAAAAACCCAGAGATGAGTTTGAACGCCGTGATGGTCTTTACTTCTCCTTTCTCGGGAAATGGACGTAGACCTCTCTATAACAATATTTCTATATAACAGTCATTTACTATAAAAGTCAAGTTTTTCTCGGAACCAATCTTTAATTATGTTATGTTATAATATCTGTCCTCTATAATAACATTTTTCTATAGCAACCAAAAAATATCGGAATAAACAAAACTATTATAGAGATATAATATAAAATATGGGTTCAGCCAAACTTAATAATTCTGATTGAGACCTTATATAACATGTTAGAAAGTTTATTGAATATGTACAAATATTAAATTTAGAATAAAGTAACTGAAGTAGATAGTGAATTCAGTGACATCACGAATTGGTAAAAATTAAATCTTGGATATATTTGTGCCACTTTCGCTCTATTCCCCACACGTGCTTGTGGAATATATGGTAACCAATAGCCATGATCGAGGAGAGCAGGTTGTTAGGCTAATTAGGTAAAGTCTATTATGAAATATTATAACCATACTATAATCGATATTTTGAAGCGGAAAGACAAAAAGATATATGAGAGGGCGCCTGCAAAACTTCTGCGTAGGAAAAGTATAACTTTTGTTTTCATCCAATTAATTCTCGGCCGAAATAAGAGAGAAATTAAGATTGCAATTTTAAGCCAGCAGGTTCACGTATCGGCGCATTGCATCCATCTGCCTAAGAGTCAGTCGTTCACATTGTTAACTAGAACCGAGGCTTTGTCTTCATTTAATTATCACAATTTATAATCTACGATAAGATAGCAGTAATTTATGTATATATGAGTTTTAGTCAACTTTATTGATTTTAGCACACAAGGTACATATAGTGAGATCTTAATCCATTTCTCTTGAAAGTATCAGAAAAGATTTGGTTGTCTCGCTCCAATAAGAACATAATACTACTCCCTCTGATCCAAAATAAGTGATTTTTTGAATATTTTCACACAAATTAAAAAATTCACCTTTTACCATTAATTAGCAATGAAATTGACCATATTAACCTTTACTATCTCACATAAACACTCCTAACACATATTCCAACACCATTTACTTCAAGGACAATGGAAGAAAAAAATAATTAATTCATTATTGAAATCCGGAAAAATCATTTATTTTGGACCACAAGAAAAAGGCCAAAAAATCACTTATTTTGGACCGGAGGGAGTATCTGACAAAATAATTGTGAGTACTTTTAACAGTTTAAACTTTAAAAATGCTCATCAAATTTAATTATGACCTAACCTCTTTTTTACACACGGGAGATTTATTTTTACACGTAAGAAATCTATCTTTTACACCTAAGAGATCTAAAAAGCTTATTTCTTAAATTCAAAATTGTAAAGGGCCATGATGTACAAATAGCACCAGATGAGTCAAAGCTCTCGAATTCAATTTTGTCAACACTAATTTACAAAATGAATTCGCATTCTTAGCTCGAACAAAAATAAAGGAATCCAAAAATAAATAAAATGGAGTGATATTCACTCATTAACAGTAACCATGTAAAAGCAATTCGCTCAGGTTTGATACTCCTAGTGAACTTAAATAGTAGATACTAGCTCCCTTTGTTCCAATTAACATGATTTACTTTTATTTTTAACTTATTCTAAAAAAATGATACGGTTTTATATTGAAAAATAATTAACTTTAAGTTTTTATTTTATTTTTGATGTAATGACTTATTATCATACAATTATTTATGATTTGTTTTAAATTATAAATTATACTCCCTCCGTTTCAATTTAGATGGAGTTGTTTGACTCGGCACGGAGTTTAAGAAAAAAAAAGGTTTTTAAAACTTGTGGTCTTAAAAGCTTAAGGGTAAGAGTTTTGTGGGGCCATGACATTTGTGTGGTTATAATAGCTTCTCGTTAAAGGTAAAATAGGTAAAATGAAGAGTTTAAAGTTGAATTATTTCCAAATTTAAAAATATGTCATTTATTATGGAATAGACCAAAAAAAAAATATCTGATCTAATTGGAAATAAAAGCAATTTTTTTTTTAATTCTTTTTAATTTCTGCACTCAATCAAACAACATCACATAAAATATGACAATTGAACCGAAGGAGTAATAGTAAAATGGTAGAGGTGCCGCAAAGTATGAGTTCACGGCACAAACTTTTCTGCGTTTTAGAGTCAGAGAATCAGAAAATTTGTTGAAGGCAGAAAATAACGTCATCGTCGTATTGTCTTATAAATAATGTTTGGCCGACATAGAGTCCTGCCTCTACAACTTTTCAGTACTTTTTTTATATATGCACGTGGCCCTATTTCTACTCTTTTTGTAGTCTCGTTTATGATTCTCATTGCTCCAATCTTAATAGAAAACATATGTTTTTTTAGCAGCTTTTTTTTTTTCCAAAGCCTCCATCTTGTCTCAAGTCTAGTGCGAGAAACTCTCGCCTCTCTAAAAATACCTACATGAACACAACCATTATATCACCAATTATACTACCGGAACCATCGGACAAGAATGACCAAATAGATGTGGAAGAAATAACACCACATTCCTACAAGGAAATGCTACTCGACAAACAGACCGTTAGCCAAACAGAGTACTACGATGAGAAACCCCCCCCCCCCCCCTCCCCCAATTATCAAAGATGATAAAGGAAAAATATTGAAGGCTCAATCACCCTGTCCCAAGAGGACACGAACCGCCTATATCAACCATGGCGCTTCTCTGTTATTATAAAGGTCTTTGGACGTAGAATGCCTCACCATTACCTTCGATCTAAACTAATTGACCTACTGAACCTATCCGAACAGTTAATCTTAATTGACCTAGGATGTGACTTCTTCATTGTCAAATTTAGTCTAGAGAAAAATATGGTTAAGGCACTACATCTAGGGCCATGGTTCGTCTCTGAAAATTTTCTATCAGTACGTAAATGGGAACGAAAATTCGTACCACACGAAACTACTCTCTCTTCCACAGCCATATGGACTCGCCTACCCAAACTACCAACAGAATTTTATGACAAAGAAATATTGAAAAAAGTTGGTAGGAAACTAGGCAAATTACTTAAAATTAACTCATGCACCTCTTCTACGTTGAGAGGAAGATATGCACACATCTATATTAAAGTACCCCTAGAAACTCCAGTGGCAACATCAGTAATCATTGGTGACCACAAACAAGCAGTGATTTATGAAGGTGAAGGTAAACCATGCACAACATGTGGAAGAATTGGTCACACCATAAAAAATTGCAATTTCATAAAAGTCCAACTACCACTGTCACAAGAAGGCTCAGAAAATTCAGGGATATACACTAAGGAAGGGGAGGAAGATGGATGGAAGACAGTCACCTACCCTAGACGTAAGAAAGCAAGTCAACAAACGACGAAGGAAAGGAACAACGGAAGCGAAAACAATCAGCCTCATGCACCAAAATCCCAAAAGATCCAGGTAAAGATGTTCGATGCAAACTCAGGTAAGTTTCTCGAAACCAAAACTTTTCAATACAATTTTAAGTCCAATAATACCAATTCCAAGAATTACAATGGGCCCAGCGCCCCTGTCAATAAATAAAATCCCACCCCCCACTCCCTAGTAGCCCAATGCACGCGGGCCCAACCCAAGTACAACGCCAAACGTAAGGCGGGAATGGGGCCTGACGGAGTCGACACCAAAAATTCCATTGGGCCCTTAAATGATGCCTACAAGGAGGCCCCTACCCATAGCCCAACCTCAGACGCTAACTCTGCTAAAGATACGGCATTGGGCCACCACGCCAATATAAAAGCAACAACTGGGGTCCATACCCAATTGGAACCACCCGTCCCAAATAATCACCCCTACCCAATACCTATGCGTCCCCTACTCTTCTCTTAGCGGACTACTCTAATGGGAAAAACTCAACACACTCCATGAACACTCAAGTGCCTCACCTGAGAACCCACCCAATCTCAAGTGATATGACACCTTCCATCCACTCAAACAGATAACACATTAATTCCAAATCCACTTCTCCAGATTCATTAACCTATGGCCTTTCCACTGACCAAGATTTGACACCAAACGACGCCATTATGAGCCTGCTCGTTAAAATAACCCCTACCATTACCCAAATTAGCAAAATAAAAAAGAATAAAAATAGAAAAAAAATCAGCCACCACCCACCATTGTGACGTCGCTACCTCTGCCACCAGACCACTCACTGGCATCCTGGCTGGAAGTGGCGTTTCAGGGATAGGGACTAGCTTACAATTTCACCCTGGGAAATCAACCAGTAACCTTGATTGTCCAAAACCCCAGTCATCTGACGAGGGTAACGGTGGAAGCCCTAAACAGGGCCTTGGTAGCTTTTGGCCCAAGCCTGTGGTAGGCGATGAAAAGCAATGGCAACATGCATCCCAATGTGGACCCACCAATGCTCAACACCCTAATCTCTCAAGCTTTCCGGTTAATCCCCTTCTTCCCAGACCTGGGAACGGAGGACCCAGCAGCTTCTCCGGTGTTTGTGACCATCGAACCCCAAAACCACCGGACTTCATCACCTTCTACTCCAGTAAAGAATAACCAGTCACCACCGTTGGGAAATATCACAAGAGAAATCAACAAAGCCCTAGATCTCCTGAAAAGAAAACCCCCACCGGAAATGAAAGGAACAACCTACGGACCACTTCGCATAGACTCTCTACTACTGGGCTCAATCAGAGCAATCGAGTTCGGTGTGGAGACCAGCGGGGTGCTTGTGATGTTGTGTCCCAAAACCATGACCAAGTGTGGTCTGAGCCTAGTCTCTCACCACACTCAGGGTGTGACCAAACTACTCCTCAACTTGACCCCAACCCTAAGCATAAAGAAAAAGATTCAAAAGAAATTAATGAGGTCTCCCCCGGGAACGGAGAAGCCTTATAGAAACCAATCCCCAAACAGCCAATCAC